AAGGTCGATGGAAGCTGCGAGTTGGAAGCCTCGAGATTCATATGTTGCATGCATGCAAGGGACCAGGTGCATCACGAAGTCCTCGGTACAACATCCTGGTCGGAGAGCGCACATGGTAGAGTGCAGTAAGGACTCCGTCACAAGCCACCAGGAAAGCTGGTAGAGGACCACGCATTCCAAGACCTTACTCAGGCATGGGAGGAGGCTAATGGGGAGGTAGGAAGAAGGAGAAGAGGCATCACTACCAGGTTCAAAAATGGTTTTGGAAGACGCCTGCTGTCCAGCTGAAATTATAGATGTGTAATAGGATCCTCAAAGAATAAAAATACAGAACATCATCGTAGACTGCAATGAGAGTTGCGTGCGTTTTGGTGAAAGCCTCCTGGAGCTCGGTGAAGGTAAAGAGGTTCTCCAAAGAACAAGGGTCGGTCCAATCCACCCTCCCCCCCCCCCACCAATGGGTCTCTTGCTGAAAATTCCTGAGAAATGGTCTGTAAAGGACTCCACCACTATTGGGATGTCGGGAACACACCCACCTTATGGAGTGAGAAGAGGATAGCATGGTCGGGGGTGGGGGTGCAGGTACCCTATAGGCCGGGGCAGAAAACACCAGGTGTCTGCAATAAGGTTGTCGAAACAAAAAAAAAATGAGATTCCTGAGCTGTACGTTTGCCTGAAGAACAAGGTATCTGCATTCAGCTGAGAGATGTATGCATGTCGGCCTGCTCGCTTAGGAGGGGGACCTCAGCCAGGCATTCCAGGTCTGAGAGTAACATTGTATTGCCTCTCTGCATTCCATCGTTCACCAAGGCATGCTGGGACGAGTGCGGGGTCGGCCTCGCATGTGGCGGAACTGCCGGAGTTTATAATTCTAGAGGGAAGTGGTGATGAGTCCAGGTCAAGTCCTACCAGCAGTCTGAACGGAGCTACGTTTGTCATTAAAGTCCATCTTCCAGCGTCATCATATAATCTATGGGGACAGAACAGGATAGGAGGAAAAACTCGTAAAGCGTCGCAGAAGATCAAGACAGGAAGATGGTCCCATATAGGGCCCAGTAAGAAACGATGTGAAGGCAAGGGGGCCACCCCAAGTGCACAGATTGACCGTTCAGGCAGCACCCGCCAGGGGGTCAATTCAGGTCAGCAATCCTATAGAGTAAGTAGCATCAAGGATGGAAAGGGCAGCAGGACATTAAAGGGGGTGTCCCCAAAAATTTGCACTCCGTCGGTAGAGTGAGGGCTGCCAGGAAGGTTAATATGCGTTGAAGTCATCCATCACAAGGCTGGCAGGGAAATGTTGCTTTAGATTATGCATCAGCTTCTTGCTGGAGACGTCCAGCACGGGTTGTACATTACGTCATATTGAGTTCCCTCGGCTCCTCAGATGCCATACAAATGGCGATAGCCTCCAAGAATGCCCCAGGGAAGGGACAGAGCAATTCCCTAACACATTGGAGGCCTTCTCGCACTAGGAGGGTGAGGCAATGTACACAGTGCCCCGGGGCAGAGGAGAGAGCCACGTCTTACACCCTCCTGCCACCAGTGGGGCCAAGCCTACCACCGACATTCTCAAGTTGTACTCTAAAGTGAATAGTAAAATATTATACTATCTAATAGCTCAGAACGTCAATATTTGTACCATGGTCCACATAGTTACGGAAGTATTATCTAAACAGGAGGATGGGTTGCGTCCATAGATACGGGGTTCTGGGTTACGTGAGGTATTTCCCACATGTCGAACGTTACATTTCGAACATTTAAACCAGCCCGTCCTCATAAACCAGCCTGGCCTCATAAACCAGACCGTCATCATAAACCAGCCCGTCCTCATAAACCAGCCTGTCCTCATAAACCAGCCAGTCCTCATAAACCTGCTCGTCCTCAAAAACCATCCTGTCCTCATAAACCAGCCTGGCCTCATAAACCAGACCGTCCTCATAAACCAGCCTGGCCTCATAAACCAGCCAGTCCTCATAAACCTGCTCGTCCTCAAAAACCATCCTGTCCTCATAAACCAGCCTGTCCTCATAAACCAGCCCGTCCTCATAGACCCGCATGTCCTCATAAACCAGCCTGTCTTCATAGACCAGCCCGTCTTCATAAACCAGCCCGTCTTCATAAACCAGCCCGTCCTCATAAACCAGCCCGTCTTCATAAACCAGCCCGTCCTCATAAACCAGCCCGTCCTCATAAACCAGCCCGTCTTCATAAACCAGCCTGTCCTCATAAACCAGCCCGTCCTCATAGACCCGCATGTCCTCATAAACCAGCCCGTCCTCATAAACCAGCCCGTCCTCATAGACCAGCCCGTCCTCATAAACCAGCCCGTCTTCATAAACCAGCCCGTCCTCATAAACCAGCCCATCTTCATAAACCAGCCTGTTCTCATAAACCAGCCCGTCCTCATAGACCCGCATGTCCTCATAAACCAGCCTGTCTTCATAGACCAGCCCATCTTCATAAACCAGCCCGTCCTCATAAACCAGCCCGTCCTCATAAACCAGCCCGTCCTCATAGACCCGCATGTCCTCATAAACCAGCCCGTCCTCATAAACCAGCCCGTCCTCATAAACCAGCCCGTCCTCATAGACCCGCATGTCCTCATAAACCAGCCCGTCCTCATAAACCAGCCCGTCCTCATAGACCAGCCCGTCCTCATAAACCAGCACGTCCTCATAGACCCGCATGTCCTCATAAACCAGCCCGTCCTCATAAACCAGCCCGTCCTCATAAACTAGCCCGTCTTCATAGACCAGCCCGTCTTCATAAACCAGCCCGTCCTCATAAACCAGCCCGTCCTCATAAACTAGCCCGTCCTCATAAACCAGCCCGTCCTCATAAACCAGCCCGTCCTCATAAACCAGCCCGTCCTCATAAACCAGCCCGTCCTCATAAACCAGCCCGTCCTCATAGACCCACATGTCCTCATAAACCAGCCCGTCCTCATAAACCAGCCTGTCCTCATAAACCAGCCCATCCTCATAGACCAGCCCGTCCTCATAAACCAGCCCATCTTCATAAACCAGCCTGTCCTCATAAACCAGCCCGTCCTCATAGACCCGCATGTCTTCATAAACCAGTCCGTCCTCATAGACCAGCCCGTCCTCATAAACCAGCCCGTCCTCATAAACCAGCCCGTCCTCACAAACCAGCCCGTCCTCATAGACCCGCATGTCTTCATAAACCAGCCCGTCCTCATAAACCAGCCCGTCCTTATAAACCAGCCCGTCCTCATAGACCCGCATGTCTTCATAAACCAGCCCGTCTACATAAACCAGCCTGTCCTCATAAACCAGCCCGTCCTCATAGACCCGCATGTCCTCATAAACCAGCCCGTCCTCATAAACCAGCCTGTCCTCATAAACCAGCCCGTCCTCATAGACCAGCCCGTCCTCATAAACCAGCCCATCTTCATAAACCAGCCTGTCCTCATAAACCAGCCCGTCCTCATAGACCCGCATGTCTTCATAAACCAGCCCGTCCTCATAAACCAGCCCGTCCTCACAAACCAGCCCGTCCTCATAGACCCGCATGTCTTCATAAACCAGCCCGTCCTCATAAACCAGCCCGTCTTCATAAACCAGCCCGTCCTCATAGACCCGCATGTCTTCATAAACCAGCCCGTCTTCATAAACCAGCCCGTCTTCATAACCCAGCCCGTCTTCATAACCCAGTCCGTCCTCATAAACCAGCCCGTCTTCATAAACCAGCCCGTGTTCATAACCCAGTCCGTCCTCATAAACCAGCCCGTCCTCATAAACCAGCCCGTCCTCATAAACCAGCCCGTCCTCATAAACCAGCCCGTCCTCATAAACCAGCCCGTCTTCATAAACTAGCCCGTCCTCATAGACCCGCATGTCCTCATAAACCAGCCCGTCCACATATACTAGCCGGTCCACATATACCAGCCCGTCCTCATAAACATTGGCCAAAGTCCTTTCATGGGATATGTATGTCTTAGACTATTTAAATAAGTTCTTTACTAATATAATAATTTATTGTGCCTAAATATGGAAATTTGACATATTGTATGTCTTTAGGGAATGTGAGAACCTCAACTGTAGGTTTATATTTGGTAGCTAAGAATCTCCTCAGAATGCTATAAAATTTCTTGCTAGGAAATGCATTAGAAAGAAAAGATTATACAAAACCGTAGCTTGTTGTTGCTTAGAAAATGTTTCTAAGATTTTCTAAGCAACAACTAACTCGATACTATATATATGATACCGATTATTTATTTGAACGGAAACTAAAATATAAATTTCACTGAAACTCACTAAATCTATTATAACTTAACTCAAAATAATATAACTAAGTCTGTTACTCATGTTCGTAACATAATATATTAATATTATTAGAATGAATCAATTAGAAGATAAATATATATAAATATCGATATTCTCTCTGCCTGTTTAGCAACTGGGGCCTTGCTTACTAGGCTGAGTAATGCTTTCCTGGCTTCTTTGTACCACAGTTAAACATCCACGTCCAAGTCTCCAGTTACTGGTGGGTGCTAAGGTTCCAACGGTTAAGGGCCCAACAGTTAAGGGCCCAACGGTTAAGGACCCAACGGTTAAGGGCCCAACAGTTAATGGCCCAACGGTTAAGGGCCCAACGGTTAAGGGCCCAACGGTTAAGGGCCCAACAGTTAAGGGCCCAACGGTTAAGGATCCAACGGTTAAAGGCCCAACGGTTAGGGGCCCAACGGTTAAGGGCCCAACGGTTAAGGAAGAAAGTTGAATCATCCCAGAGTATCAGTGGATCACACCCAGGTCAATATAGTTGTGAAGCGAGATAGTGAAGCTTCCCAGCACTTCACCATATGCTTCACTATATGCTTCCCGACACGCTTCATCAAATGCTTTACCATGCGCCTCACCATACGCCTCACCATACACTTCAACATACGCTTCAACGTATGCTTCACTATACGCCTTACCATATGCTTCTCCATACACTTCACCATATGATTCAAAGTATGCTTCACCATATGCTTCACCTTAAGCTTCACCATATGCTTCACCATACACTTCATCATATGGTTCATTATACGCTTCACCATATACTTCACTATACACTTTACCATTCGCTCTACCATACACTTCACGATATGCTTCATCATATGCTTCACCAAATGCTTCACCATACGCTTCACTATACGCTTCACCATATGCTTCAACATATGCTTCACTATACGCCTTACCATATGCTTCTCCATACACTTCACCATATGCTTCACCATATGCTTCACCATATGCTTCACCATATGCTTCACCATACACTTCATCATATGGTTCATTATACGCTTCACCATATGCTTTACCAAACATTTCACCATACACTTTACCATATGCTTTACCAGATATTTCTCCATACACTTCACCGTACACTGTACCATACACTTCACCATACACTATACCATACACTGTACCATACACTTCACCGTACACTGTACCATACACTTCACCATACACTGTACCATACACTTCACCATACACTGTACCATACACTTCACCATACACTGTACCATACACTTCACCGTACACTGTACCATACACTTCACCGTACACTGTACCATACACTTCACCGTACACTGTACCACACACTTCACCATACACTGTACCATACACTTCACCGTACACTGTACCATACACTTCACCATACACTGTACCATACACTTCACCGTACACTGCACCATACACTTCACCATACACTGTACCATACACTTCACCGTACACTGTACCATACACTTCACCGTACACTGTACCATACACTTTCTGTACACGTACACTGTACCACACACTTCACCATACACTGTACCATACACTTCACCGTACACTGTACCATACACTTCACCATACACTGTACCATACACTTCACCGTACACTGTACCATACACTTCACCGTACACTGTACCATACACTTCACCGTACACCGTACCATACACTTCACCATACACTGTACCATACACTTCACCATACACTGTACCATACACTTCACCAAACACTGTACCATACACTTCACCATACACTGTACCATACACTTCACCATACACTTCACCGTACACTGTACCATACACTTCACCATACACTGTACCATACACTTCACCGTACACTGCACCATACACTTCACCATACACTGTACCATACACTTCACCGTACACTGTACCATACACTGTACCATACACTTCATCATACACTGTACCATACACTTCACCATACACTGTACCATACACTTCACCGTACACTGCACCATACACTTCACCATACACTTCACCATACACTGTACCATACACTTCACCATACACTGTACCATACACTTCACTATACACTGTACCATACACTTCACCATACACTGTATCATACACTTCACCATACACTGTACCATGCACTTCACCATACACTTCACCGTACACTGTACCATACACTTCACTATACACTGTACCATACACTTCACCGTACACTGTACCATACACTTCACCATACACTGTACCATACACTTCACCATACACTTCACCGTACACTGTACCATACACTTCACCATACACTGTACCATACACTTCACCGTACACTTCACCATACACTGTACCATACACTTCACCATACACTTCACCGTACACTGTACCATACACTTCACTATACACTGTACCATACACTTCACCGTACACTGTACCATACACTTCACCATACACTGTACCATACACTTCACCATACACTTCACCGTACACTGTACCATACACTTCACCATACACTGTACCATACACTTCACCGTACACTTCACCATACACTGTACCATACACTTCACCATACACTTCACCGTACACTGTACCATTCACTTCACCGTACACTGCACCATACACATCACCATACACTGTACCATACACTTCACCGTACACTGTACCATACACTTCACCATACACTGCACCATACACTTCACCATACACTGTACCATACACTTCACCATACACTGTACCATACACTTCACCGTACACTGCACCATACACTTCACCATACACTGTACCATACACTTCACCATACACTTCACCATACACTTCACCATACACTGTACCATACACTTCACCGTACACTGTACCATACACTTCACCGTACACTGTACCATACACTTCACCGTACACTGTACCATACACTTCACCGTACACTGCACCATACACTTCACCGTACACTGCACCATACACTTCACCGTACACTGTACCATACACTTCACCGTACACTGCACCATACACTTCACCGTACACTGTACCATACACTTCACCGTACACTGCACCATACACTGTACTATACACTTCACCGTACACTGTACCATACACTTCACCGTACACTGCACCATACACTTCACCGTACACTGTACCATACACTTCACCGTACAGTGCACCATATACTTCACCGTACACTGTACCATACACTTCACCGTACACTGCACCATACACTTCACCGTACACTGTACCATACACTTCACCGTACACTGCACCATACACTTCACCATATACTGTACCATACACTTCACCGTACACTGTACCATACACTTCACCGTACACTGCACCATACACTGTACCATACACTTCACCATACACTTCACCGTACACTGTACCATACACTTCACCGTACACTGTACCATACACTTCACCGTACACTGCACCATACACTTCACCATATACTGTACCATACACTGTACCATACACTTCACCGTACACCGTACCATACACTTCACCATACACTGTACCATACACTTCACCATACACTGTACCATACACTTCACCATACACTGTACCATACACTTCACCGTACATTGCACCATACACTTCACCATACACTGTACCATACACTTCACCGTACACTGTACCATACACTTCACCATACACTGTACCATACACTTCACCATACACTGTACCATACACTTCCCCATACACTGTACCATACACTTCACCATACACTTCACCGTACACTGTACCATACACTTCACCATACACTGTACCATACACTTCACCGTACACTGCACCATACACTTCACCATACACTGTACCATACACTTCACCGTACACTGTACCATACACTTCACCGTACACTGTACCATACACTGTACCATACACTTCATCATACACTGTACCATACACTTCACCATACACTGTACCATACACTTCACCGTACACTGCACCATACACTTCACCATACATTTCACCATACACTGTACCATACACTTCACCATACACTGTACCATACACTTCACTATACACTGTACCATACACTTCACCATACACTGTATCATACACTTCACCATACACTGTACCATACACTTCACCATACACTTCACCATACACTGTACCATACCCTTCACTATACACTGTACCATACACTTCATCGTACACTGTACCATACACTTCACCATACACTGTACCATACACTTCACTATACACTTCACCGTACACTGTACCATACACTTCACCATACACTGTACCATACACTTCACCGTACACTTCACCATACACTGTACCATACACTTCACCATACACTTCACCGTACACTGTACAATACACTTCACCGTACACTGCACCATACACTTCACCATACACTGTACCATACACTTCACCATACACTTCACCGTACACTGTACCATTCACTTCACCGTACACTGCACCATACACTTCACCATACACTGTACCATACACTTCACCGTACACTGTACCATACACTTCACCATACGCTGTACCATACACTTCACCATACACTGTACCATACACTTCACCGTACACTGTACCATACACTTCACCGTACACTGCACCATACACTTCACCGTACACTGTACCATACACTTCACCATACACTGCACCATACACTTCACCATACACTGTACCATACACTTCGCCATACACTGTACCATACACTTCACCGTACACTACACCATACACTTCACCATACACTGTACCATACACTTCACCATACACTTCACCATACACTGTACCATACACTTCACCGTACACTGTACCATACACTTCACCGTACACTGCACCATACACTTCACCGTACACTGTACCATACACTTCACCGTACAGTGCACCATATACTTCACCGTACACTGTACCATACACTTCACCATACACTGCACCATACACTTCACCGTACACTGTACCATACACTTCACCGTACACTGCACCATACACTGTACCATACACTTCACCATACACTGTACCATACACTTCACCATACACTGTACCATGCACTTCACCGTACACTGCACCATACACTTCACCATACACTGTACCATACACTTCACCATACACTGTACCATACACTTCACCGTACACTTTACCATACACTTCACCGTACACTGTACCATACACTTCACCGTACACTGCACCATACACTTCACCATACTCTGTACCATACACTTCACCATACACTGTACCATACACTTCACCATACACTTCACCATACACTTCACCGTACACTGCACCATACACTTCACCATACACTGTACCATACACTTCACCGTACACTGTACCATACACTTCACCATACACTGTACCATGCACTTCACCGTACACTGCACCATACACTTCACCGTACACTGTACCATACACTTCACCGTACACTGTACCATACACTTCACCATACGCTGTACCATACACTTCACCATACACTGTACCATACACTTCACCGTACACTGTACCATGCACTTCACAGTACACTGCACCATACACTTCACCGTACACTGTACCATACACTTCACCATACACTGCACCATACACTTCACCATACACTGTACCATACACTTCACCATACACTGTACCATACACTTCACCGTACACTACATCATACACTTCACCATACACTGTACCATACACTTCACCATACACTTCACCATACACTGTACCATACACATCACCGTACACTGTACCATACACTTCACCGTACACTGTACCATACACTTCACCGTACACTGTACCATACACTTCACCGTACAGTGCACCATATACTTCACCGTACACTGTACCATGCACTTCACCGTACACTGCACCATACACTTCACCGTACACTGTACCATACACTTCACCGTACACTGCACCATACACTGTACCATACACTTCACCATACACTGTACCATACACTTCACCATACACTGTACCATGCACTTCACCGTACACTGCACCATACACTTCACCATACACTGTACCATACACTTCACCATACACTGTACCATACACTTCACCGTACACTTTACCATACACTTCACCCTACACTGTACCATACACTTCACCGTACACTGCACCATACACTTCACCGTACACTGCACAATGCACTTCACCATACTCTGT